GTTAACAGCTCTTTTGGATGCAGAAATAGTAACAGGATCAAGTATCGACGGTGAAAACTCTTCTGATTCATTTGGTTCCAACTCGTGGATTGATGGCGCAGAATTTTGCACACCAACATCAGATGCAACTGTCAACAACCCTGGATCACTTAAATCATCAGTAGAGAAATGAATTTCACTTCCCTCACCACCAAATGTTTCCACTTCAATTGGAATAGCTGTCATAGGATGATCTCTAGAATGTGGTGGTGCGAGACGGTCTGCATCTAGCACTTCATAGCATGCCTCACACAAATCGAAATCTGGGCAAACAGTACAGTGCCATCTTCGCCTTAGGATAGGAACAGTAGAGCAACCATCGCAACAGTATTGAACAGATGATGTGATGGAGTCTTCTTCAACCATGACCTGAGTACTTCCACTAGCTCCAGCGGAAGCATCAACTCGCGTAGGAACACAGGAAGGGTTCTCCACGTCATCAGTACCTATCATTGTTTGCTTTGGGAACGGAACCTGAAGGAATCTTGAAGATATAGCCAAGCTGGAACCAAAGAATAGAAAATTTGGAGACATAAACAAATGAAAATGGGAAAATCACAGTTATGCTTTCACAGAAATTGGTTCAAGAGCTATTAACAACCTGCTGGAAGTTTGAACAGCCTCATTGGTAGAGAACAACAGTTTCTTAAACAATGAAACAGCAGGAGCAACAGAAGACCTGCCTCCGTCTTTTCCATGCAATGCTAAGCACTCGGCGTAACAGTAAATAAGTTCGACGGACGATACAACAATATTGTTCATAGTCTGTGTGTCAGGTTGCTCTCTGTCTAAAATTCCCCAAAGGACGTGCATAAGTCCATCAACCACTTCAGAACCTACATTCAAAAGAATAAATAAGGAATTGCCCAAGGGAGCCCCAAAATTTGTTTTCTGAAGGTAAAATTCTCAACTGCAGCATAAATGTCGGCGAAGGTCAGTAAACCATGCAGAATAAACATANGGGGGGGGAAGAGAGAGGGTGCATGAGCACAAGGGAGGAGGGGTTCAAAATTAGTGAAAGAAACAATGCCCTAACTTCATTATTTTGACCCTACTCAGATGGTACCCCGTCCAAGGGCTAGGAAACACTGGACTCTATTATAAAGAGTAGCTGTAAGCAAAAAGAACAAGAAAAAGTACCATTCATCTCAAGAAAAGAGGCAAGGTTTGAGCGACGATGCAGCGCAATCTTGGAAACCACGCGCATCTGTGCAGTAAATTCCTCAATTATCCACCCAGCAGCGGTCCCATCCACACCAAGTTTTGATGAGAGCATGGCAGTGGATTTCACGACACCAGCCAGGCGCATGGCATCCTTAACCTATTCAGATACAAATTTCCGGTCACAATAAAATATTTGGCATAAATAGAGAAAAAGCAAGATTAGTTCACTCATTTCACACATATAGTCTGGGCAGTTACTTGGTAATATATCTCCCTCTTTGGGAAGACGGCTTGCAGGACACGATTGGCAG